AATTCTATCGAAACTTCTTTATTATACACGCACTGACGCAAGTTCCCACATAATTTAGCAGCTTTTCTCAATGACAAATATTTATTAATTTAGGTAGAAAGAGTAGCTTTATAGAATCTTGTTTATGGCCTACTATTGTCATAATATGACAAAACCAAATAATCTTGTTTATGACCTATTATGTCCTCCTATCATTCTTTTAAAATAACAACAATCAACTAAGGGTCCACATTATCACACTTTTTTTCCAATCAAGCTTGTGATTACCTAACTTTTCGTGACAAAAGATTCAACAGTTCAACTCAAATGGCGACCTCAAAAGTATCACCGGATGTGTGTCACTATCGGTGTTGCAGTTGTGATTATGAAATTTGCAGTTGTGGTTTTGTTCAAAGTTTGATATGTTTTGTTTGGCACATTTAAGAAAATATAATTTCGTTTAATCAATTTTATAAATGGTTGATTATGACGGATAAAATATTATTTCACAAGAAGCATTTGAATCTATTTTGAACCAGTCCGGCGTATATATACATTATTTTGGGAAACAAAGCATCAAGTTATCTGCCTTAACGCCTAGTGCATGTTCCTTGAATAAGATTAAAAACATGAAGTACCTTAGATTTATCGAAGGGATTATTGGGATCACAGTTTGAAGGTTGGGTGCCATATTCCTTATAATTAGGCCAGAGTCCATGAACTTGTGAAGTTTGCGCGATTTACGATAATGCTGCTTGCATGAATCGCGGTTATTTATAGACTTGGAGAGAGATGCACTTTTGTACATGCTCACTTTTGCATGGCTACGTAGGCATGTTGTCATATTAATAAGCTTATTTTAATTTGCTTTGAAAAGCTTATTTTCCAACAAGCTTTTCAAATGCATATATATTCTATCATGGAATGGTCGTGGAATGTTCTTAAGATTCTACTTTGCTTCTCTTAACATTCTTCTTCACTAGAGCCTAGTAATCTACTTTTGCATATATAATTTAATTAATGCTTCAACATTTTGGATATTCTTTGAAAATGAGCGCAAATCCTTATCACCCACCACCCACTCGTCAAAAAAATCGACAATATTTCAAACTCAATCAGAATATGCAATCCTCAACTACCATTTTGTTTGCTTGTATATCTTGGTCAACATATATATTAACTACACAAGTAGAGATTTTTGTATTGAATCAACTCATTCTGTATACAAAAGAATTTGAGGTGGGCCTGATTCCTTACCAAATAAGACTTTTTTAAATAAAATAATTATTCATTCTTATAAACTAGTAGGCTTGAACGTGCATAGTCGGTGTGAGTCTCCAACACTCCCTCTCACGGTCAAGCCCATATGTTGAGTTAGACTTGTTAATGGAGGTTTTTATTGGCTCTAATTCTCACCCGTTGGTCAAGCACTCAACTCAATGCAGTAGACTTGAGTGTACCTAGTCATGTTACCCTTACACAAACACAAACAGTAAAAAGAAAAAGTAACACGCATGATTTATTTTGATTCACCTAATTAACAGGTTATGTTCAGCAGAGTCAATATTATTTTAGTATTGTATCATCTCTCTCGTTTGCAATGAATGAATTTACCTTATTGTTTGCTATCACTCATTACCAGAGAAAGATGTGTTTATATACTAGGTTTAAAAAACTAAAACCTTGTATTATAAAGATTTATATTGTTTGTTATCACTCATTACGAGAGAAATGTGTGTTTATACATTATATTTAAAAGACTAAAACCTTTATAAGGATTTATATTCTTAAACCCAAACCTAATAAGGATTTATATTCTTAAGCCCAAACCATGAGGAAGACATCCTGGATGAGTTTGCATATTCTTAAGCCAAGTTAGGTACTAAAACTAATTCTTACTTGCTGCACCAGTGTGAGTCCACGATCTGTTAAGTTTAATAGCATGATGGAGTCCAAAATAAAGGAGATCACTACGAGAATGCAAAATATCGCAACAGAGAAAGACAACCTGGAGCTGAGAGAGAATATGTGAGGGAGGTCAAGAAAAGTCGGTGAAAGACTACGCACTACCTCTCTGGTTAATGAAGCCAAAGTGCATGGTAGGGAAAAAGAGGAGGAGGCAATAGTTGAAATACTGCTGAGGAATGATTGGTATATGGAACTGTCCAAGTTTTGTTTCATTTCCTGAAGGGGGGTTGACTTCCAGGAAACTGACACAGCTGCATGTAAGTGAGAGAAAATGAATGCCCTGCCCAACAGCATGCATTATCTCAACTCTCTTGAAGCATTGACAATCGAGAAATGTCCAGGCATTCTATGCTTCCCTGAAAATGGATTTCCTACCAACCTTACATCAGTCAGGATCATAGACGTCAACTTGTGCAGAGTAATGTTGGAGTGGGGATTGAACAAACTCACCTCTCTTAAAAGACTCGACATTATTGGAGGATGTGATGACGTGGTGTCCTTTCCACCGGAGGAAGTAGGAATCAAACTTCCAACTTCTGTAGGCAGACTAAATATAGAGAATTTTCTCAATATGGAAACCGTCTCCTCCATGCTTCAAAACCTCACTTCCTCGGAAGTTCTGATTTTGTTTACTTGTCAACGCTCAAAAACTTTCCAGACAAGGGCCTGCCTCTCTTACTTAAGGAACTACGTATTAAAGAATGTCCAATAATAGAAGAAAGGAGCAAAAGAATGAAGGGCAGTATTGGCCCATGATGGCCTACATACCTCTTATCACCATAAGAATGAAGGGCGGTATTGTATTGGCCCAAATACCTCCCATCACCCAAATATTAAAAAACTCTTTGTTTTTAAAACACCATACACCCTTTTTATATGCTTGGAATTGTTTTTTTTTTTTTAATTAAAAGTATTTCAAAGTGATGGAAGAGGATTTCAATCAATGCTAGGCAGTAATCATGAATTGTTTTTATTTTATTTTTTCATATTTTGTTTTGTTTGATCATTTCCCATCTCTATTTTTTGGATATAATAATTATTAGAAAATTATCATGTCCAAAAAAAGTTTAAATATATGATTGTTTTACAAGAGCCGCCAGCATTACTACCTTTAAAATAAATCAAGTAAATCAACGTGCTTTTTCTTTTCAACTGGCCTGAAAATAATTATCATGATCAGTTGCATTGACGATCTCATAATAGTCATCAAATCCTGGCCGGAAAGATTTCTCAATTCCTCTGTCAACTGCTAGGTAATGGATGGTTAGAGTCCATTTGGTAAAAATACAGCTATATATAACGTGAATCTTCTCTGAAATAATTACCGCATGTATCAACTTCATATGCAATTATATTTGAGCATAAGCAAAGAAGTTAATATTAAGAAAAAAGAAAAAAGAAAAAAAATGCCAGTCGGAAAAGAGAAATTGAGAGAAAACGAAAATACAGTAGATTGCATGAAAACTTTTCACAAACAAAACTGAATCACTAGCTTCACCAATTCAACCTCTTCTCAGTTTTCCCACCCAATGCACAGAATCCACCACCTGTTCGTGAAACATATGTAAAGTTGAATAACTAAAATTAAGCAAATTGATATGAGCTTAGAAAAGAGCGTCTCAAAGATTTTATGCTTTTCTGGATTCTGATAGTTGACTAATCCTCTTCTTTTGTCGAAATTATGCATTTATAACAAGAGTAAACGACTTTTCCCCACCCAAGGTTTGCGGTTTGCCTTAATGACATTTCTCACCTAAAAAGTTTCAAAATACTTCTTTCTTACCCAAAATTAATATTTCGTTAACTACCCAAACCAAATTCCTATCGATTCCAATGGCGACAATTCTCTTCGTACCACCATTTGAACCTTCAGTCTCCTCTTTACAAAACCTCTCTCATTATTACACCTGATTTCTCGCCAATTGCCAACTGTCGCAAAGCTAGAGTTTTTTGTTCTTAGCTAATTTCCGGCTGATTCTGACGACTAAAATTCAGTCGGTTACCATCATTCGATCTACCAGCTTCCACTCTAGAAAGCCTCTTTTATCCTGATTTCTGGTAACTTGCTGAACACTGATTAAGAAAGTGAAGTATATTTTGAGTATTACAGGGTATAAACTTTGTGTAGAAAAAGTAGTATCTTGAAACTTTTTTGGTGGAAAAGTGTCATTAAGGCAAACCTTGGGTGGGAAAATGTTGTTTACTCTTTATAATAAATACAAATAGACCTATAAATAACTCTTAAAAAAAAAAAAAATTGTTTACATTTATCCATTATATTGCAGAACAATATCAGAATGGGTTGTAATTAGTCAACATCTACCAACTATCAGTAAAGTCTGATGAAATTACATTGCACCCTTCATTAGGCACAACTTTTCCTTGTTTTCTTTGGGGCTTTTAACTTCACCTCCCTTACATATTTTAAAGTTACATAACGTCCCCTGAGGTTTTGACAGTCCCTTGCCAGTTGCCACTACCAAGGATGAAATGGGATGGAGAAAACACAATTATTCTTTTGCCCTTCAGGATTAATTTGTATTACACATTTTTGTTGAATAAAATAAAATATTGATGAATAATAAATAGAAATATACTCACCAGCGACGTAATGGGCATTTTTTGTTGGAAAAGTATCATGGTGAAGTAGATTGGTTGGAAACGAGTCTCACAGTGCCCATGGTGCTCCATAACTCCCTGCCAGTCATAAGCAAAGCCCGACCACGTGGAAGGTGAAAAGATTGAATTTTCCTTGACAGGTTTCATTGAAACCGTTTCAACTTTAAGGGAGCTAGTTGTCATTTCTGTAAAGGTAAGGGAAGGTAAGGTCACCGTAGAATACGTAAAGGGTTTAGCCATCACTTCATTAGCCTCAACCACAGGGTAGATGTGTGGACCGTGAAAACCTGGAAGAAACGACGCGGAATGGAAAATGCCGAGAAAGGGCGATGCCTGTGAAGTCAAGCCATAATAATTTAATATGGCATTTTGTCTTGGAAAATGACCTAGCATCCCATATTACATGAATTTCAAATATTAAGAGAAGATATGCAGAAGATTTCATACTTTCTTCCTTTAACTTCAAGTTGACTTCCCTATATTGATTTCCCAAAATTCCTCTGTTTCACCAAAGACACCATGTCTATCATTGGAGAGGCAATTCTTTCTGTCAGCGTTGAGATGCTGATTGAAAAGTTGGTTTCAGCGTTGGTTGTGCAATTTGGTTGCGAAGAGCAAATCCAAGCGGACCTCAAGAAGTGGGAGAAAATACTTATGGAAATTCATGCAGTGCTTGAAAATGCAGAGGAGAAACAGAGCATGAAACGTTCGGTGAAGATCTGGCTTGATGACCTTAAAAACTTGGCTTACGACGTGGAAGACATACTAGATGAATTTGCAACAGAAGCTTTGCGGAGGAAGTTGTTGCTTGAAACTCAACCTCAACCTCGACCTGAAGCCGGCACAAGTAAGCTACAGAAGTTACGGAAGATCATTCCTTCTTGCTGCAACAGCTTCAATCAAAGATCTTTTAAGTATAAAAGATTCAATTCCGCGATGGCATCCCAAATAGAGGAGTTTAATACCAGATTGCAAGATATAGCAACACGGAAACAACATCTGGGTCTGGAAGAAAATTTCGGAGGAAGGTCCAGAAAAGGCAGCCAAAGACCACCAGCGACCTCTTTGGTGAATGAAGCCAAAGTGTTCGGCAGGGAACAAGATAAGGAGGCAATAGTTAGTTTATTGATAGATGATGATTCAAGTACTAGTAATGGATTTGCTGTTATTCCTATAACTGGGATGGCAGGGGTGGGCAAAACAACTCTTGCTCAGCTTGTCTACAATGATGACAGGATAGAATCTCATTTTGGTTTCAAGGCTTGGGTTAGTGTTTCTGAGGATTTTGATATTATCAACATAACAGAAACAATTTTATGTTCCATCGGTGCTGAGACTGGTAATATTAATGATCTAAACTTGCTTCAAGTCAAGTTGAAGCAAAAACTGTCTGAAGTGAAATATTTGCTTGTTTTAGATGATATTTGGAATGAAAATCCCAATTATTGGGCTACCCTAAGCCAACCATTTGAAGCTGGATTACGAGGAAGTAAGATTATTGTCACAACTCGGAATCGGGGTGTTTCATCTATGGTAGGTACACTGCCAGCGCACCAGTTGAAAGAGTTGTCAAATGAAGCATGTTTGTGTATATTTACTCAACATTCATTGGGCAGAACAGATTTTAACATGCATCCACACTTGAAGGAAATTGGAGAAAAGATAGTGAAAAGGTGTGATGGTTTGCCTTTGGCAGCTAAAAGTCTTGGTGGTCTGCTGCATGGTAAATATGACATCAACGAGTGGGAAAACGTACTAAATAGCAAGATGTGGGCTTTACCAGAAGAGAAATGTGACATTATTCCAGCTCTTAAAGTAAGTTATTATTATCTTTCTTCACATTTGAAACGGTGCTTTGCATATTGCTCACTCTTTCCAAAGGGTTATGAATTTGAAATGGAAAATATTATTTTACTATGGATGGCTGAGGGTTTATTACAACCTGAAAATAATGTGAAGAAAATGGAAGAATTAGGTCGTGACTATTTTTGTGAGCTAAAATCAAGATCATTTTTCGAAGAATCAAAATCGAGTAGGTCAGTATTTGTGATGCATGATCTTATTCATGACCTTACTTAGTGGGCTGCAGGAGAAGTATATTTTAGAATGGAGGATACACATGAGAGTGACAACCAGTATGTTTTTTCTAATAATATTCTTCGTCATTTATCTTACATTAGTGGCCCCCTGGATGGCATTGAAAAGCTTGAGGCCTCAAATAACATCAAAGGTTTACGAACTTTCCTGTTATTGATGATGCAAGGGAAGGAATCCTTTTACTTGCCCCGTGAACAAAAAGCTTTTATTCACCCTAAGCTTGCGTTTCACGTAAAGAAAAATCACGATTCCTCTTGCATAGAGGAAGCTGTTATTCATCCTAAGTTGTGGAAGTTACACTGTTTAAGGGTTTTATCTTTGCACATATTTTGCATTCGGGAGCTGCCAAATCAAATTGGAGATTTGAAGCATCTACGTTACCTTGACCTTTCCTACACTTGTATTGAAAGTTTGCCTGAATCAGTGAGTACTCTTTACAATTTACAAGCACTTGTACTAGAGGGCTGTGCTCGTCTAAGAAAATTATGTGCAGACATAGGCAATCTAATCAATCTACATCATGTCAATATTTTCAAAGTAGATTCATTGGAGCAAATGCCTTTAAGGATCAGTAAATTAACTGGTCTCCAAACACTGTCTAAGTTTGTTGTGGGGAAAGGTGTTGGCTCTGGAATAGCAGAGTTGAAGTCCTTAACTCACCTAAGGGAGAGGCTTCACATTTCCAGGTTGGAGAATGTTCATGATGCTAATGATGTTGAGGAGGCTGACTTAAATGGTGAGGAGAACCTCAATGAGCTAGTTTTGGAATGGAAGTGCAGTGGTGTAATTTCAAAGCCAGGGGAAACTCAAATGCAGGTACTTGGCATGCTACGACCTCATCAAAATATGAAAAAACTCATTATCAGAGGCTATGATGGTATAAAATTTCCAACTTGGTTAGGAGATTTCTCATTCTCAAAACTAGAGTGTTTAAAATTCCAATATTGCCGCAAGTGTATTTCCCTGCCATCAGTAGGGCAACTGCGCTCCCTCAAGGACCTTGTTTTCAAGGGAATGAATGGAGTAAAATGCGTGGGTTTAGACTTCTATGGAAATGGTTTCTCAGCCCCTTTTCCATCACTTGAAATTCTCCATTTTCTTGACATGAAAGAATGGGAAGAATGGGTTCCTCATAGACCTAGTGAAGAAGTTGAATGCTTTCCTCAGTTGCGAGAGCTTCGTATTATACGGTGTCCAAACTTGCGAGGAAGATTGCCGAAATGTCTTCCTTTATTGAATAAGCTTGTCATTGAAAAATGTAAGAAATTCTCGGTTTCAGTTCCAAGTTTTCCAGCACTTCGTGAATTAAAAATTGAATGGATCAAAGAGGTGAGTGGAGTACGTAGACCTCAGATCATTGAAGTCGGTGGTACTTTCCACAGTGTCAAATCGCGTGTTTCTGGGAGAGGGTTTATGCAAGGGATACCAATTTAGAAGAACTGACAATTTCTGGTTGTAGGAGCTAACATCTTTCTGTGAGACAGGAATGGGATTACACCAAGATATTGCTCTCTCCATCCTCCACTGTTTTCCTTGATGACAGAGGAAGAAGAAGAGCAAGGACAGAAAGGGTTGCCCTGCAGACTCCATATCTGGAATTGGGGAAATTGAATGCCTTGACAAGCTACCACAAGGATTGCACAATCTTTGTTCCCTTAGAGATATATCTAAGGAACTGCACAAATCTTGTTTCCTTTGCAGGAATTGGCGTTCCTTCCCAGCTGAAATCCATCAGAATTGAGAATTGCAAAGCTCTGGAATCTTTTCCTGAGGCATTGATATCCAGCAGCAACATATCTCTTGAAACAATTGTCATTGAGAAGTGTTTAAATCTTAAATCTTTACCTGATGACATGAACAGGCTGACCAGTCTTCAAAAGGTTATATTACAGAATTGTTCAAGCATTGTCTGGTTTCCAGAAGGAGGCTTGCCTTCCACGAAACTGACAGAGCTCCGGATTAACGGCTGTGAGAAACTGATGGCCTTACCGAAAACATGCACAACCTCTCCTGTCTTCAAGAATTGAGAATGAAAGATGTCCCGGCATTGTATCCTTCCCTCAGGATGGATTTCCCACCAACCTTGCGTTCTTAATGATGAAAGATGTCAACATCTGCAAGCCTTTGCTCAAGTGGGGGCTACACAAACTCAACTCTCTTAGAATACTGTACATTAAGGGGGATTGTGATGACTGGAATCCTTTCCACAGGAGGAAATGGAAATGACACTTCCTACCTCTCTAACCACCTACAGATTGAGAACTTTCCAAATTTAGAAAGGCTATCTTCAGTGGTTCAAAACCTCACTTCCTTAAAGAAACTATCTATCCTTCATTGTCCAAAGCTCAAATACTTTACAGAGCAGGGCCTGCCTCCGTCGCTTTTGAAACTATATATTGATGAGTGTCCTTTGCTAGAGAAAGGTGCAAGAAGGATGAAGGACTCTATTGGCCCATGATAGCCCACCTACCTCCTGTCTCCAGAGTTGGAGTGTAAACCTCTGGTAGCTCATAAGAAGAGACTGAATTCAATCAGTTTCATAAACCATCATTCCCAGGTATGTCATTCTAAATATATGTCCACAAATATTTTGGTTCTTGTTGATTCTACGGAATCTGTATCAATTCTTATTCATTTTCTCGACCTAAACAGCCAATTTCACAATTCTGCCATACTTACTTGTTTTGAACATTTAGATTGTTAGAAGTTAAATTTATCTCACATCACCAAATTGGTCTATTACGGTGTTTATATGTGGTTGGCTCCCCTCGTTTGAGTTAGCTTTTGGGAGTGAGTTAGCCCATGTATCATAGTATCGAGGTTGGATTGTTATGGTGTATATAATGGTTTGGACTCTCTTTTCTCTTTTCCGTCATTGTTTATTTTACGATTAGTGCCTAATGTTGTGTTAGGGAAGAAAGTTTTTAACTGATATATTTTAGCTGGTTGATACTAATTTTAATTACTGATAATTTCAGTTATTTCTAAGATCAACTGAACCACATAATCAGCGGAGCATCATTTCCTGATATGAATCCTTTTCCGAGAATTGGCATTCGATATAAAGTTCTACTATCAAGTAATACAAGTTCTGGTTGAACGGATGAGAAAGTTTTCGGTGATCAAACATGGTAAACAGAGAAACATCTCATCTTAAGGTACTTTCCAGTGTCATAACTCAATTGGTTTGTTGTCTCTTTAGGCTTCCTTATGTTCCAGTCCTTCAAAGAGATTCCATTATCTTCGATTCGTTGACCATGTTTACTTTATATCAAACGCTCAGAGTTGCTGGTCTTGTTTTCAATTGACCTTTTCATCATCAGCAGTTTCATTTATTCTGCATTTAAGGCAGAGATGATATCTCCTGATGAATTTACTGCCATTAAAAGAATTAAATGGACTAGGGTGATTAGTTTCTTCTTTTTCCTGCACATTAAATATCAATTCAATAGTCTTACACAATCTCATTTTCTACTTATTGATTTTTGTTTCTCCAGATGGAAAAATGGAAGTTTTTGCTTGATTGTGTTGAATTGTTTCCCTACTTGAATAGGAATATGCTTTAAAAATTGGCACATTATGTGTTGGCATCAAAGGGATGTTGGCTTCACAATACTCAGGAATACACACTGCAGTGTTCTTATAATACTGGAAATGAAATAGGTTGGTAGATTTTAAAAGTGACTATTTCTTGAAAAGAATAAACTTAAAAAAGTTTTGTAAGTAATTCTCACTCTTATCTGTTTTTTTTTTGGCAGACAAAATTATGAAGCTCAAGAGCTGAACAGAAAATGAAGGATCTAGCAAATTAACTACAGAGCAATTGTTGAAGAACTATATTAACATAAATTTCACTTTGTTTGCCTCTGATAAATTGTTGAAGCAAGCAGAAATCGTTAATTCAGCCATTAGAGGTCGCTTCACGGTGATGTTATTGTCTCGGTGTATCCTGCTGACTATTTTCTGATACGAATCCTATTGCTGGAAGTCTCAGCTCAGTTTGTTACTTCCATTTTCATGGTATTTATAGGAATTATTGCCAATAGCTGGAGTTTAAGTTATAATAAAACAATTCTTTTAACTTCATGTGAATCATGTCATGTTTTTCAGAATCGTTTTCAACTGTTGAATGAAAAATCGTTTTTTGCGTCACAAACCCAAATGTTCATTTCCAGTAATACAAACACCATAAACAACCGACTTCCTCATAACAAACAGGGGATAGCGGTCCCTCAATAATAAACAAAGCAGAGTATATCATAAGCTTATTAAATAGATTCAGAAGTTGTCTTCTTTGGAATACCCTCCTCTGTTTTAGCAAGGACTCTGCTAAATAGAGTCTAAAACTCGGTCAAGAAAGGGATACCCAGGACATACAAAACAGAGCTAAAACATACAATTCCTTGCATTTCACCAGCATAGTTTCATCTGTTTTATTGAGATAATATGATGATGTGATTAGCTATTCTCATAGTGGTTATTAAATCCTGGCTGGAAAGATTTCTCTATTCCTCTGCCAACTGCTAGGTATTGGGGTTATAGTCCATTTGGTAAAAATACAACTATAACATGAAACTTCTCTCAAGCAGTTACAGCATATATCAATTTCATATGCAATTAAGGTTTTTAAAAATGGCATTAGTTAAAATGAATAAAGGATTCAACTTATATGTAACTGTTCTGCTATTTTTTTTTTTACCTTGAGCTTCAGCTTTCACAACCCAAACTGAATTTCTAGTTTCACCAGTTCAACCTCTCTACAGTTTTCCAGCCCAAGCCCATAATCCACCACCTGATCCTAAAGTATATGCAAAGTTGAATAACTAAAATTAAGTACCTTATTAGAGTTTCTCAAAGATTTATTTTTGAGATAGTTGACTGATCCTCTTCTTATATCTAAATTATGTATTTATAATAAATACAAATAAACTTATAAATAACTATTAAATTACTTTTATTTAACATTCAAAAATCCTCCATTAATAATCTAACTCTCTCTTTAACTAACTCACAAACATAATTTATAAAGATAAAGAGAATAAAGCATCCAATTTTAAAATTTCACAAAAGAAACCAAGATTATCTTCCTTCCGGTTCTGTTCGGCTGTTCCAGTTCATATACAGTATATATATTAACAAATTCAAGGGTAAAAGAGTAAAATATACCTAAATTTTTAGAATCACCAAGTGCAAAACTACATATATCCCAAAAACACTGGAAACCATCACATAGACGTCAACAAAGAAAGAACTTGACTAAATTTGACCAACACAATTATGAATACGGTAATTATATTTTGAACTTGGCTAATTTACCATAAAATTTATTAACAACTCATTTTTAAATAAATAACGTAAAATAACTAATAAAATTAAAAAAAAAAAAAGAAAAAAAACTTCAACAACACAAATCCTTAACCTAAAAACACAAATTCTAAATAAAATAAGAATTAAGAAAAACTTTAAAATTTTTGAAAAATTAAGAATACTCAAAAAGAAATACTACAAAAGCCTACTAAAAAAAAAAGAAGCTAAAATCTAAAAAATATTTGCCATGGTCAATTTTTTTTTTTTCAGATTATTATTAAATTTTTTAACATTTTACAAAGTAAGTTTTTCAATTTTTAGATCATTTTATTTTTAATTATTATCATATATTTCTTTTTTTTTTCATTTATTCAAAAAAAAATTCTCATTTTTTTCTTTTTTTTTTTATTTGTTTACATTCTTTTCTATTTTCTTACTAAAAATTGTTATATTTTACATAATTTAATAATTTTTTAAGCCTAACATGGGTTTTGAGGGCTGAGAGAGATGAAGTGATAGTAAGGGGGATGGGTTAGATTAATGGGCAAAGCAGGTGAGGGCATTAAGGTCATTTATCCTTTCTGTGGTGAAAAGTAACAAAAAGGATACTAACAACGGGAGGTTGAGAGTAATTACAAGTATCACATAGGGTTTTTTGGATTCGACCCAACCTCAAGATAAAAGGCAATTGACATATTTGTAATTAAAGTTAACACAATAGGCTTTTGCTTACTCTAATTCGCTGAAAGGTATACGTTTTAGAAGGAGAGTGACCCGATTGATCTTGCGACTTCACAAACGATGGTCCGTAGCACTCGTCATCCTAACATTATCTTGTTACTTGTTTAGGCATCGATAACATGGTGATGAAAGCATGGATGAAAGCTTTTCTTTTCTTTTTTATTAGATATTATAATAATTTGTAATGCTATTTATTTGATTTGCAATTTATTTTCTTTATTATCATTTTTAGTGAAATAATATAATTTTAATGTACTTTATTTCATGTATGCGTTCCACTATTTATGTGTTGTTAGTAATCTTTTAGCATTGTCAAAAATTAGGAAATTACAGCAATAATTCGGTAACAATCGAGAAGTAAATGATTACAAAATTCCACAAAAGTGGCCCATCCTTAATATGTGTTCATATATACAGTTTAGAATCCTAATACAAAATTACTTATAAGAGTTTAATTATATTATATTTTATTGGTTAAAAAATGAATGTTTTAATTTATTTCTCGTGTTGCATATAGTCAACTAAATGAAAGAATAAGAAACCAGATCAATGGCTCACTTTCATTATTATCCTTAAAATTTGTACACAAGGAGAGCAATAACATAAAATACAGCTAAATCTATTAATTCCCCACAAAAAAAAAAAAAAACCTATGAATGAATTTCATATCTGAACATTACATCCTAGAATATATGACCTTGCAAACTATTATGTGACAATGCTAGGTGTTTTAATGAGATGCAACCTGCCAATTCCTCAGGTATTCCTCCAGTCAACAAATTGTTAGACATTTCCAAATACTCCAACGACTTCATGTCACCAAATGACGAGGGAATACTACTAGTCAACAAATTGTTAGACATATCCAAATACCATAACGACTTCATGTCATGACCAAATGAAGATGGAATACTACCTTCAAAAGCATTTATGGAAATCTTGAAATAATATAACACTAGTAGATATGCTCCAGTTTCCATTAGAATGTGCCCACTGAAGGAATTTATGGAGATATCTAAATGATGAAGGGAAGTCAAGTTTGCTACACACCAAGGGAAGGTACCCATTAAACCATTACCAATGATCCTTAATTGCACAAGATTATGCATCTTACATATTCCTGAAATAAAAAATGTTCCTTAATAGTTAGTATACGAAGCACAAGGGTAATTATAGCTATGCAAATGTTCCTTAATCAATACGCTTAATAATTATTATAGTGTACAAATTTAATAAATATACTAGTCATGTGCACTATTTATTTTTATGTTGTTTTCCTTTTTAATAGAGTTATATATATATATATATTAAAAGGTTTTGCCTAGCATTTTACTCGTAAGTACATATGAGTTTTACTGTAACGGTTTAATATCCCTATGGGCTATGGATTCAAGAAATCTCTACATAACTATTGTGGAATTAAATAAATTAACAAAGATAATGAAATTGAAAATATTATTAAATCATGTAAACTTTTTGATATAGAATAATTTTTTATTTGAGACTTCAATTTTTCAGTTTGCTTTTTAATATTGAAAAAGATAAGAGTAAAAAATCCACTTCATCCATTAATTTTTTAGATTAATACTTATGATTTCATCACAATAGTTCACAAATTATTGTTGAGAGCAGTTTCATCAATCTCCAAAAGTTTTAAATTCTTGAAACTAGGCAAATCTGCGAACAATATTAAATTTCACATATGCTAAATAGGATGTAAACTCAGTGTTCTTATCTCAACTGCCAACTAGGATTCTAATCTTCAGGATTTCGTGCTTCTAGCTAATTTCATATAGGCTATCTTTTCTATGATTATTTTTATGTCATATTAGTGGGGAAAGTTATTTTCTAGAAGCAAAGTAGTTGTAGAAGTTATCAAATTAAAGGTGCAGGTTTATATTTTTGTAGACAACTAAAATGTTGTATATCACTAATCTATAAGACTATAGAGTAGATTTTTAATTGGGTATTTTCTTATATTTATAATAATGATCTCATATGGACATTTAATTATCTTCAAGTTCGTATAAGATCGAGCTTTTTTCTAGTTTTAATCGAGTTCAAGTTCGAACTCGATTTCAAGCTCATCTAATAGGGGTGGCTTTGCAAATTTTATAACTTTTAAATTACATATGACCCCTATTACTTTAAAAACTGTCAACTTAACCATCGAGCTTGGAAATACTTGCGAATATATTGAGTCGAGTTTTACTCAATTAACTACTCGAACTCGACTTGACTAATGCAAAGTCGAGTTCAGGCCAACATCAAGTATAGTTTGAGTGGCTCGACATGATTTTCACCCCTAAATAGATTACATGCTTCACTCCTTTGTTCAGGATTTAAACCATTATGTGCAAACCCAATAGCTCTTATTCCTTTCATTTTCACTCCCAATAAAATTTTTAAAAACTAATAGATCCCCTTGCATAAAAATAAAAATTACAAAGAATATGTAATAAATATATTAGAATTAAAAACGGGGGTTTTACAAAAAAAAAATCCAAACTTACCATGGGGGCCGGCTATTCCGTTCTCAAAATCTCTAAGATTTATAAGGATAAAATTTAAATAAATAGAAATAAAAATAGAAAATCTGAAATTTTTTAAAAATTGAGTGGGGGCCGTGGTCCCCACTCGTCATTCATTAAATCCGCCCCTGGCTGTTTTGGTTTCCCCTGCCCAGCCTTCGGCCCTCCTGCATAGACACTCCTGGCTGTTTTTTTCTTACTGGGTGTGTGCTTGAGTTGTAAAGGATTATTTCCTTGTTTCTTTTTGAATTGTGACGCCCCTTCTCGTTGCAGGGGTCGTGTTGTTTGGGTTCCTTCCTTTTAGGTGCTCATTCCCTTATTCTTTATAAAATTACCACTTACTTAAAAATAAATAAATAGATAAGCAATTTCACATATATAGTTTCTTCGATAATTTGACATGAGAATCAGTATTTAATTTATCAATCTCAACTATATTTGAAATTTTGTGTTTGAAATGCATTTCATAGAGTTATTTTACTATTCAATAATACTACAGATATGATATTATATAAATTTAGATCCCAACGATAGTTGATTTAATTTACCAACTCAACTCTCACATGGTTGAATTATTGAGATAAAAAATTGGGATGGGATCTCAACTTTATACATGCAATGTTAATTTTTAACATTTCAAAATTACGTGAAAATTATCTTAAACTTATTGTTTCATTAACTTGTGCCACAGAACTAGTGACGAAATAATCAAATAATTGAAAACGGTGAAGTTAAAAAACAATAAAGAAATCGTGGCAATTAAAAGATGGAATAGAAGGGACCTCTGTTCTCAACAAAACCGGTTATAAAATTGTCGCTTAAATGAAGTACTTTTAGTTGTTGGAAGGAAGAAAAAAAAAGAACTAACGAGATGCCAAAATCTAGAAGTGGGATTTCCAGAACAAATAAGAGCGATTTCGATAACTCTGCCTGTGGTGTTGCTGCACTCAACCCCTTCCCATAGACAACAGTCTGAACTCTGAATTATTGTGTCCGTTAACTGAGTTTTGAAGACTGCAAGGATCATTAAAGAAATTTTTGAGTTGCAAGAGAGCAAATCTCTCTTGCTTCCAACATTCACGACTTTGCATTTTGTCAAATGAAACAAAAATCAATACCATCCACACCCACACCCACATCCAGTTTAATCCCATCTTATGACAATCCACTCCTTCCTTTTTTCTGTGATTGATATGAAGGGAGCAAGACCTTTATATCAATCCAAACCAATAACCGAACCGGAAAACCTGTTAACCGAAAACGGTTCGGTTACGGTTCGAAAAATTCAAAAAACTGAATTTCCAGTTCGGTTACCGGTTCGGAAAAAAATAAAAAACGGTTAACTGAAACCGGTTTTTTGAACCGGTTATATATATATATATATATATTAAATAAAAATTATATATTAAATAAAATAATAATAATATTTTTAATGTATTGTTAGTAGTGGTCAATTGATATGTATGAATGTTTAATTTTTATTTGGATATGTATTATTTATATTTACAATTTAATTTAGGAAAAAATTAAAAAAAATAAGTTTTATAAAAAAAAGGGAAAACCGGTTAAACGAAAAATCAGTTTTCCTTTCAAATCGGTTCGGTTTCGATTCGAGAATTTTTTCGAACCGAAAAACCAGTTTGGTTCAAAAAAGCGGTTAACCGCTTTTGAACACCCTATTAGTACCCCTCCTCCTAAAATTATCTTGTTACTTTTTTAGGCATGGATAACATGGTGATGAAAGCATGGATGAAAGTTTTTCTTTTCTTTTTTATTAGATATTATAATAATTTTTAATGCTATTTATTTAATTTGAAATTTATTTTCTTTATTATAATATTTAGTGAAATAATATAATTTTAATGTACTTTATTTGCATTTTGGTATAATATGATTACGAAGTTTTGTATGCATTCCACTATTTATGTGTTGTTAGTAATCTTTTAGCATTTTCAAAAATTAGGAAATTACAGCAATAGTTCGGTAACAATTGAAAAGTAAATGTTTACAAAAGTCCACAAAAGTGGCCCATCGTTAATATGTGTTTATATATATATAGTTTAGAATCCTAATACAAAATTAATTACTTATAAGAGTTTAATTATATTATATTTTATTGCTTAAATAGTTAAAAAAGAATGTTTTAATTGATTGCTCATGTTGCAATAGTCAACTAAATGAAGAATAAGAAACCAGACCAATGGCTCACTTTCATTATTATCCTTAACATTTGTACACAATGGGGGCAATAACATAAAATACAGCTAAATCTATTAATTCCAGGGAAAAAAAAAAAACACATGTGAATGAATTTCATCTCTGAACATTACATCCTAGAATATCTGACCTTGCAAACTATTATTTGACAATGCTAGGTGTTCTAATGAGATGCAACCCGCCAATTCCTCAGGTATTCCTCCAGTCAACAAATTGTTAGACATATCCAAATACCATAACCACTTTATGTCACCAAATGAAGAGGGAATACTACCAGTCAACAAATTGTTAGACAAATCCAATTCCGACAACGACTTCATGTCACCAAATGAAGATGGAATACTACCTTCAAAAGCATTTCCAGAAATGTTGAAATAATTTAACACTGATAGATATGCTCCAATTTCCATTGGAATGTGCCCACTGAAGGAATTTATGGAGATATCTAATTCATTAAGGGAAGTCAAGTTTGCTACACACCACCAAGGGAAGGTACCCGTTATACCATTACCAATGATGCTTAAATCCACAAGATGATGCATCTTACATATTCCTGAAATAAAAAATGTTCCTTAATAGTTACCATATGAAGCACAAGGGTAATTATAGCTATGCAAATGTTCCTTAATCAATATGCTTAATAATTATTATAGTGCACAAATTTAATAAATATACTAGCCATGTGCACTATTTATTTTTATGTTGTTTTCCTTTTTAATAGAGTTATATATATTTAAAAAATTTTAAAAGTTTTGTCTAGCATTTTACTCATTAGTACATATGAGTTTTACTGTAACGATTTTATATCCCAATGGGCTATGGATTCTAGAAATCTCTATATAACTATTGTGGAATTAAATAAATTAAATAAGATAATGAAATTGAAAATATTATTAAATCATGTAAATTTTTTGATATATAATAATTGTTTATTTGAGGCTTTAAATTTTCAGTTTGCTTTTTAATTATCAAAAAAGATGAGAGTAAAAAATCCACAAATAATTTAATGTTTCATCCATTATTTTTTTTTTTTAGATTAATACTTATGATTTCATCACAATAGTTCACAAATTATTGTTGAGAGCAGTTTCATCAATCTTCAAAAGTTTTAAATTCTTGAAACTAGGCAAATTTGCGAACAATATTAAATTTCACATATGCTAAATAGGATATAAACTCAATGTTCTTATCTAGTAGCGGATCCAGGAATTTCTTTTAGAGTGGGCCAAAATAAAAATTTATTATACATTACTATTTTTGTCCATTAATATTTTTTTTAGGGTGAGCCAAAATATATAAATTTATATATTAATATTAAAAAAAAAAATTGTGAGGGTGGGCCAAAAAGTGGCTGGATCCGCCACTGTTCTTATCTCAACTGCCAATTAGGATTCTAATCTTTAGGATTTCGTGCTTCTAGCTAATTTCATATGGACTATCTTTTTCTATGATTATTTTTACGTCATATTAGTGGGGAAAGTTATTTTCTAGAAGAAAAGTAGTTGTAGGAGTTATCAAATTAGGTGCAGATTTATATTTTTATAGACAACCAAAATGTTGTATATCACTAATCTATAAGATTATATAGTAGATTTTTTATTTGGTACTTTCGTATATTTATAATAATTATCTCATATGGACATTTGATTATCTTTAATAATAAATGTTCCAATTAAATATTTTTAATTTCTTATTAATAATATAGATGGAATAACCCAGATAATTAAATATATTTTACCATTTTAAAGGATAGAATTTCATTACAATAGCACAAACCATTAACTTATCAATAATTAATTAATTACTTAAATAAATTATAAGAGAGATAATTATTTACTCTAATAAGTCATTTGATCAATATTACCTAATCAATTGAAGTAATGTATATAAAAAATATTACTTGTCTTAATCCTTAATTCATATCTATTTAAGTAATGTATCATCTTATATAATATTACCTAATATAAATTTTCAATAAAACAATTAATTACACTTAGAAGGGGAAGGAAAAAAGTTACTAACCTTCATCAAGTGACGTGTTCTTGAAGGTACAGTTGACAATTGATAAATACTCAAGAGAAGTCATGCTACTAAGCATTTGAAGAGAGTTGTTGTTGTTGAAAATAGTGTTACTTATATCCAATTTTGTCAAACTCTTGAACGTAGGCAATTCTACACATAAAGAAGGAAAAAAAAAATGTTTTTTTTTATGTGTAATTGAAATAAAGAAGAAATATCATAAACTAATTTCAATGTTCTATTTTATTTAACAAAATAAATTTAGAAAAGTGTATTCAAACATTTAACCATCGTTTAAGAGTAGTACTAATTAGATATTAATGATCTAAAAGACTAGAGTTAATCCGGCATTGCATATTCATTGTTAGGTTTTGACTATCTTTTCCTAAATATTTTGGGACAAATAATCTCATGCTTTAAGAGACCCTTTAGTACAAAACCAATTGAATGTCCCAAACAAATTAACTAATCTTCTAAATTGGAAAATTTTCTCATTAATAATCAAATATTTAATGAAGAATACTAGACATAAATTTTTTTATATATAATTTAACCATTAATAAAATGAATAAAAGAGTGTACATAAAAATTTAATTTAATAAATTCAGATAATTATTATTAATTTTTTTTCTTTTTATAATATGTGCTCAAATTATACTTTTAATTTACCAAGAGAAGCTTTGGACCTTGGCCCTCATTAATTAAAAGGCTACTTCTTATGAGAGGGTTGTTACTTTTTCTTGTTAGTTAGGAAGATTTTCAATTTAGGACCACTTATTTTAAAAACAATAAGGAAAATACGGTAAGTTGTAAAACTTAATTCAAAAGGACACTTAAAAGCTAACAACTAAATTTTGTTAAAATTAACTGTTTTAATGACATTTACTGTAATATCCTTATTAAAACCTAAGTGACATATGAAAACATAAGAAGACTAACATAACCTGACAAGAAAAGATATTCTTATTTTTCCATAAATTAATAGTAAGTGTAAAATAATATTTTTTTTTCTGCTAAAAAATATATATTTTTTTCTGCTAAAAAATATATTTTAATATTAGAAAGAACACTTAATATGGTATTGGCGAAAGGATAATCTGCTTTCCTACTAGCATAGATCACATCACCTTGAAAATATTGTTCAATAATCTACACCAATTATTATAATATTCTAAATTGGAAAAGAGTCAATTGCTAATTTATAAATTACTTATTAATAGGTTATGCTTGATTGAATCGGAAACTAAAAATTAATTAAACCTGTAAGAAGAGAGAAGTATTAACCTTGCCCAGGTAACGTGTTTGTTAGATTACAATTGTCAAGTAGTAGAGTCTCAAGGGAATTGCATGATCCATTGAATATTGCAGGGAAGTTGTTGAGAGCAATGTCATCAAGCCTCACATTTTTCAAACTCTTGAAAGTAGGCAAAACTGCAAATAATATTACTCAAAAAAATATAATGAAGTTGAAACTNACCTTGGCTGATGTTTATGCAAGGTGCAATGTGGCTGCCTTGGAGCCAAGAACATATACTGAAGCTGCTGGATCAGATGCTTGGAAGAATGCTATGCAAGAAGAGATCTCTATGATTGAGAAGAACAATACATTGAGTCTAGTTGAAAGACCTGAAAACAGAAGAATAATTCAGGTAAAGTGGATTTACAAACTAAAGTTAAATCCTGATGGCACAATCCACAAACACAAAGCAAGACTTGTGGCAAAAGGATTTGCGCAACAACAAGGGGTAGATTACACTGACACATTTGCTCCTGTAGCTAGACATGATACTATAAGGTTGATTCTTGCCATGGCAGCCCAATTTGGTTGGAAAATTTTCCAACTTGATGTCAAATCTGCCTTCCTAAATGGCTGCCTGGAGGAGGATATTTTTGTGGATCAACCTGAAGGCTACCAAGTGAAGGGTGAAGAAGGGAAAGTGTACCTGCTAGAGAAGGCTCTGTATGGCCTAAAACAGGCACCTAGGGCCTGGTATAGCCGCATAAATGAGCATCTTAACAGCCTAGGTTATGTACGAAGTCCAAACGAACATACCCTTTATGTTAAAGAAGCTGAAGGTGAACTAATGGTGGTGTCTTTGTACGTGGATGACCTTCTGATGACAGGGAGCAATTCAGACCAGTTGAAGATGTTTAAACAATCCATGCAATCTGAATTTGAGATGACAGATTTGGGGGAGATGACATATTTTCTTGGTATGCAAATTTTTCAGTCCAAAAGTGGAATATTTGTGCATCAAGAAAAGTATGCAAATGAAATTCTCACAAAGTTTGGAATGGAGAATTGTAAACCTTCAGATACACCCTTGGTTTCTAACCTGAAGCTGAGTAAAAATGATGGTGAAAAGGAAGTGGATGAGAGTGTGTTTAAAGGCCTGGTAGGCTGTTTGTTGTACTTGACAGCCACACGGCCAGACCTAATGTTTGCAGCAAGTTATCTCTCTAGATTCATGAGCTGTCCAAGTGAATCACATCAGAGAGCAGCAAAGAGGGTGTTAAGGTATGTGAAAGGAACTTCAAATCTGGGAATTTGGTTTAGAATAGCAGGAAAATTTTTTTTGCAGGGGTACACAGACAGTGACTGGGGAGGCTCCGTTGATGACATGAAAAGTACCTCTGGGTATGTGTTTTACATCAATAAAGGAGCCATTGGTTGGTTGTCAAAGAAACAAGACTCAGTGGCTCAGTCCACTGCAGAGGCAGAATACATTTCTGCCACAGCAACAGTGAATCAAGCTGCATGGTTTAGAAAATTTTTGGCTAATTTGAAGCAAGATCAAGATAAGCCAACCTCTATATGGTGTGATTATCAATCAGCAGTGGCAATGGCAAAGAATCCAGTTCTCCACGGCAGGACCAAGCATATTAAGATTAAATTTCATACAGTTAGGGAGGCTGAAAATGAGGGGGAAGTGACCTTGCTACACTGTCGGGGTGTGGACCAGATTGCAGACATTATGACTAAGAGTCTGCCTAAAGCCAAGTTTGAGGAACTAAGACTCAAACTTGGTGTTTCCAGCATGTGCATCAAGGGGGAGTGTTGATGTTGTGATGCTGTGCTGGAAATATTGCAAGGGGTCAAGTCTGCAAGCTTGTGTCTGGAAGATGCAGAAGGTTACATGCAGCAGTGGTCTTAACGTGCATGGGAGTGCTTTTGTGTAATAACGTGTTTAGAGAATTAAGGGTATTTAAGTAAAGTGTATTAGAAGTAACATGTGTGGTGTTTTTTGAATTTTGAAAGTTGTAATGTCTGCTGTAGTTGGTGTAATTAGCAGAGAGTTGTTAAGTGCTGTATATTGTCCATGATCAATGAATATGAATGTAATCAGTTTTTGTCTCACGGTGCTCTGTTTTTCTTTTCATTCTCATATATCATCTCCGGCTGAAACCAACAGGTTTAGGTGATACTGAAGATGGTGAACAGGTAAAGTAGTTTATGTTAAGGTTCTTCCATTCTATAACTCCATCGGTTAGTTGTCTCAACTGGTTAGTTGTGTTATTCCTTTAGGATGACCTTCCACTACTTTGGCTTATCATAGGGTCAAACTTGTTTGTCCTATGGTTTCAAGGGAACTTTTTCTTAGATTATATCTCTATCAAATCTATGCAGTTGAGCAAGGAAATATATCTGTTTCTCTTCAGAAAATGGCACATTATTTATTGTCATCAAAGGAATGTTGGTTTTCAAGCAGTCAGGAATACAGACTCTTATTGTTCTTGTAATTGCCGGTGATAGGTTGCTGAGTACCATTTTCATCGTCATCAAATATGTTCCATCATTATCAGGCATAATAAACGAAACCCCGCTCTGATGATTGTGGATGGCAGAATTTCTTGCTGATGAAGATGGAGCTATAAGAGATTGTCTATTTGACTTGCCAAGTATGTTTAGTTGGTTTCTGCAGTTGACATGTCCCCAAATTTCAGTTATTGACTGTTTCCTGAAAAGGAGCAGCTTTTAGAATAGTTTTGAAAGTAATTGTCTTGTTTTTCTTGCAGACAAAGCTATGAAGACTCAAAAACTAAAGAAGGAACTAGCTTCCTCTTTATATCCTGCATTTAAGGTGGCAACAACAAAAAAATTGAAGCAAAGTCGATGGTGACTTGTGACTTCTTCATGCACAATTTTTGTGAAGCCAATAACAAAAGGACGAAGAAAATCTCTTTTTGTTGTGTAGAACCTTGTTATAGCAGACATCCTCTCTCAATAACCCCAATTTGTATATATTTTTTAACCACCCCAATTTTCAGTCATTTTTTTAATACCCGAATTTGTATCTCGAGATGATGTAGATAAATCTGCTCATGATATTAACAAAGGAAAATTGATTCTTATTCAATTTCGTTGTTCTGGAATTAAACAATCAGCTTTTGGTTCTGTCCCAGCTCTGCTTGACTTTGAGATCAGGGAAGACCGGTGCTTTCCTATGGAAGAATGCTCCCAGCATCAAATCAGGGTGTAAAGGTAAGTTGCTTTCTTTTAAGTTATCTTAATGTCTATCTAATTAAACTCAAGCTAAAAAATTTATGGTTAATCAAGATGGAGCTATAACAGACTGTTTCTTTGACTTGCCAAGTATGTCTCAGTTGATTTCTGAGTTAAACCAATGGCGAGATTTTAAAATGTGACAATTTCTTGAAAACAAGCAACTTGCAGAAAATAATTGAAGGTAAGTCTCCATATATTTTTTATTGTTGGGTTCAGACCAGGAAACGAATGATCTGGAAAATGGACTGTAAAGCAGGTGTTTCACATGAGATTTCACTACTGCTGATAGCAAGCACCGTTTAGTTTTTTAGTTTGGGCTTATGTTTGCTTTGGAATAATTGGAGAGAACACATTTGGTTTTGAATATTGTACTTTAAAGACTATGGTTTGATCTCATTTATGAGTTATTATTTATTGTTGAGACTATTTTTACTTCTTTCCTTTATATTTATATATATATAACCTGGATTAATGCGGCTATAAAGAAAAGTAATAAAAAGACATTGGCAGCAGGAAGTTGAGAGCCTTTGTCAATATCATTTGTGATGCTTTTCTTTTCTTTATTAGATATTAGAATCATTTGTAATGCTATTTATTTAATTGGAAATTTATTTTCTTTATTTAATTTTCAGTGAAATAATATAATTTTAATGTACTTTATTTGTATTTTGGTATAATATGATTATGAAGTTCACTTAAAGAGTTTAATTATATTACATTATATTGCTTAAGTAGTTTAAAAATAAATGTTTTAGTGGGCTGGGCCGAAAACAAGTAAAAATAACGTTTGGGTCTGGGTTTTCCTACTTAGACCCACTAAACTAACAGGTTTGGTTCATTTTAAAAGGATTTGGTGGGACACAAAATTATTTCAACACAATCCATTTTTAGGTGCAAGTGCATTAACCAATTTTTAGGCAATATTTTATACAATTGAAAGAGTTTGATCAAGATCATGTAAGTATCATGGATATGAAATTTAAGCTTGGCAATCATATGTTGCTTTGTTAATTTTTTTTTTTTTTTTTTTTTTCTAGACTTCTCCAAAATTTATAAGCTAGTTTTATGCATTCAAATTTCTCAATTATTATTCTTAGAATCTTTGACGTAAAAACACATGTGAATGAATTTGATCTCTGAACATTACATCCTAGAATATCTGACCTTGCAAACTATTATTTGACAATGCTAGGTGCTCTAATGAGATGCAACTCGCCAATTCCTCAGGTATTCCTCCAGTCAACAAATTGTTAGACATATCCAAATGTTTCAATGCCTTCATATCACCAAATGAAGAGGGAATACTACCTTCAAAAGCATTTCCAGAAATGTCAAGTGATTCTAACTTAGGTAGATATGCTCCAATTTCCATTGGAATGTGCCCACTGAAGGAATTTATAGAGATATCTAAAAGTTGAAGGGAAGTCAAGTTTGCTAGACACCAAGGGAAGGTACCCGTTAAACCATTGCTACTGATGTCTAAGTCGTGAAGATGAAGCATCTTACATATTCCTGAAATAGAAATTGTTCCTTAATAGTTACTATATAAAGCACAAGGTAATTATAGCCATGCAAATGTTACTTAATCAATATGCTTAATAATTATTATACAGCACAAATTTAACAAACGTACTGGCTATGAAACTATTTCTCTTTTGCCCTTTTTAAAGAATTATATGTATATTTGGAAAATAGATTTCACATATGCTAAATAGGATGTCAACTCAATGTTCTTATCTCAACTGTTGACTAGAATTCTAATCTTCAGGAATTTCGTGCTTCTAGTTAATTTCATAGGAACTATCTTTTTCTATGATTAATTTGTAGAAGTTATCAAATTAGGTGCAGATTTATATTTTTATAGACAAGTAAAATGTTGTCTATCACTAATCTATAAGACTATATATTAGATTTTTAATTTGGTATTTTTTTATATTTATAATAATTATCTCATATGGATGTTTGAAATCGGAGTCTAGTCGAACTAGAGTATTTTCTTTTTCAAAAGTTGGATTATCTTTAATAATAAATGTTCCAATTAAATATTTTTAATTTCTCATTAATAATATAGATAGAATAACTCAGGTAATTAAATATATTTTACCATTTTAGAGGATAGAATTTCGTTACAGTAGCACAGAACATTAAGTTATCTATAACTAATTAATTAATTCAATTATAAGAGGGATAATTATTTACTCCAGAGAAGACAAGGCCAAAGGAGCTATTGAAACGCTTGAAGGGACAGGTAAGGGACAGATTGATTGCACCAACCAGGCACAGGACTTATTAGAAGAGAACTAATAATTTACATCGTGTATTCTATCCTTTAATTGATTGGGATCATTATTTATATTCATAAAAACAGACATAATTAAAAGTCATAATTAACTCTGTTTAATAAACACGCATTGTTTTAATCTTTAATTCATATCCATTTAAGTAATGTATCATCTTATATAATATTACTTGACATATATTTTTTATAAAATAATTAATTACACTTGGAAGGGGAAGGAAAAAAGTTACTAACCTTCATCAAGTGACGTGTTCTTGAGGATACAGTTGAAAATTGTTAAATTATGAAGAGAAGTCATGCTCCAAAGCATTTGAAGAGAGTTGTTGTTGTTGAAAATAGTGTTAAGTATACGCAATTCTGTCAAACTCTTAAACGTAGGCAATTCTACACATAAAGAAAAAAAAAATATGTGTGTATTTTCTTTATGTGTAATGGAAATAAAGAAGAAATACCATAAACTAATTTCAATATTCTATTTTATTTAACAAAATAAATTTAAAAAAACATATTCAAATATTTAACCATCTTTTAAGAGTAGTGCTAATTAGATATTAATGATCTAAAAGACTAGAGTTAATCTGGCATTGCATATTCATTGTTAGGTTTTGACTATCTTTTCCTAAATATTTTGGGACAAATAATCTCATGCCTTAAGAGACTTTTTAGTACAAAACCAATTGAATGTCCCAAACAAATTAACTAATCTTCTAAATTGGAAAATTTTCTCATTAATAATCAAATATTTAATGAAGAATACTAGACATAAAATTTTTAATACATAAATTAACCATTAATAAAATGAATAAAAGAGTGTATATAAAAATTTAATTTAATAAATTCAGATATATATTTTTTTATTTTTATAATATGTACTTGGATTATACTTTTAAGTTAGCAAGAAAAGTTTTTGACTTTGGCCCTCCTTAATTAGATGGCTACTTCTTATTAGAAGGTTGTTACTTTTTCTCATTAATTAGGAAGATTATCAATTTAGGACCACTTATTTTAAAAACAATAAGGAAAATACGGTAAGTTGTAAAACTTGATTAAAAAGGGCACTTAACAGTTAATACCTAAATTTTGTTAAAATTAATTGTTTTAATGACATTTAGTGTAATACCCTTATTAAAACTTAAGTGACATATGAAAACATAAGAAGACTAACATAACCCTAGCTAGAAAGGATATTCTTATTTTTCCATAAATTAATAATAAGTGTGAAATAATATTTTTTTTTTCCTCTAAAAAAATTATTTTAATATTGGAAAGAACATTCAATATAGTATAGGAGAAAGGATATTCTGCTTTCCTACTAGCATAGATCACATCACCTTGAAAATATTGTTCAATAGAAAATAATACAGCCACCGAGGGTAGTGCACTGAATGAGGTGACAAAATTCTGACCATTGATCAATTTTAACTTAATATTAATCAATGGTCAGGATTTTACCACGTCATTCGGTGCACTACCGTTGGTGGCTGTAGCATTACTCTTGTTCAATAATCTACACCAATTATTTTAATATTCTAAATTGGAAAAGAATCAATTGCTAATTTATAAATTATTTATTAATAGGTTATGCATGATTGAATGGGAAACTAAAAATTAATTAAACTTGTAAGAAGAGAGAAGTATTAACCTTGCTCAAGAAACGTGTTTGTCACATTACAATTGTAAAGTTGTAGAGTCTCAAGGGAATTGCACGATCCATTGAATATTGCAGGGAAGTTGTTGAGAGCAATGTCATGAAACTCCACATATATCAAACTCTTGAGTGTAGGCAAAACTGAAAATAATATTACTCAAAAAAATATAATGAAGTTGAAACTGTTGAAAAAGCTAAATATAATGATAACTGAATGTTATATATATAAGGTACAAAATTTTGTTGAGATCTTATGCAATTTTGTTTACTCTAATCAATTCGTTGGATCATTGTTTATATTCTAGAAAACATTTTAGACTTAGTTAAAAGTCAAAATTTAACTTTTAAGGAGAGGGAAAATTAATTGTTTAATAACTTTTACTGTAATACCCTTATTAAAATTTAGTGACTATAAAAAAACATAAAAGACTAATATAACCCTGACAAGAAAAATTTTAATGTGTGCATTTGATAGACTGATAGAAGTGATTTCAATTATTAATTAAGTTCATGCATGAGCAACAAGCAGTTGGTTCCAAATATGGTTTAATTTAGCTAGTCCAAGATTATTGTTTTTAAATTTCTTTTTCCTTTTATAATATGTACTCAGATTATATTTTTAAGTTAGCAAGAAAAATTTTGAACTTTGACCCTCATTAATTAGATGGCTACTTCTTATGGGAGGTTTGTTACTTTTTCTATTTATACGTTTGGTAATAATGTTTATTTTTGCACATAACATTTTTAATTTCCAATTATAAATTATAAATTTTACTTGTAAGGAGAAGAAAAGTTACTAACCTTGGTCAAGCAGAGTGTCATTGAGGTCACTACTAATAATTTCAATAGACTGAAGAGAAGTCATGGCCCCCAACATTTGAAAAAAGTTGTTGTGAAAAACAGTGTCATGAATCTCTAAACTTGTCAAATTCTTGAACAAAGACAACTCTACAAAAGCACAAAAGTTATTAGGAAGATTATCAATTTAGGCCCAATNAGACTTTTATCACTTTTTTTTTTTTTTTTTTTTTTTTTTTATGTTTTTTCTTGGTGCTTATTAGACTTTTTTGCACAAGATTAATTGAATGTCCCAAACCAATTAACTAATATTCTAAATTAGAAATTGTGATCATTATTAATATTATAAATAATAATATAAATGTTATTTTTAAAGTTATAATCAAATAATTAATGAATTATATTAAACAATATATTAATGTATATGGAAAATTGTATAAATAATTTGTTTATATAAGTAACATTATTCAAAATTAATATCTAAAAGTTTTCTATTTTAAATTTAGACACAAGCCATAAATAAGAAATGTCTTAATTTATTCAAAAAGTATAATCTTGCGAAGATTATAATGTGTGCATTTGATAGGCTGATAGAACCAATTTCATTTATTAATTAAGTTCATGCATGAGTAACAAGCAGTTGATTCCAAATATGGTTTAATTTAGCTAGTCCAAGATTATTATTTCTAAATTTCTTTTTCCTTTTATAATATGTACTCAGATTATATTTTTAAGTTAGCAAGAAAAATTTTGAACTTTGACCCTCATTAATTAGATGTCTACTTCTTATGGGAGGTTTGTTACTTTTTCTATTTATATTTTTTGGTAATAATGTTTATTTTTGCACATAACATTTTTAATTTCCAATTATAAATTATAAATTTTACTTGTAAGGAGAAGAAAAGTTACTAACCTTGGTCAAGTAGAGTGTTATTGAGGTCAATAATATCAATTACAATAGACTGAAGAGAAGTCATGGCCCCCAATATTTGAAGAAAGTTGTTGTGAAAAACAGTGTCATGGATCTCTAAAGTTGTCAAATTCTTGAACGAAGGTAACTCTACAAAAGCACAAAAGTTACTAGGAAGATTATCAATTTAGGCCCAATTATTTAAAAAACAGTAAGGAAAAGACCTTAAGTTATAAAACTTGATTAAAAAGGGTACTTAACACCTAAATTGAGTAAATTATGTTAAAATTAACCGTTTTAATGACATTTATTGTAATACCCTTATTAAAACTTAGTGATATATAAAACCATAAAAAAACTAATTAACCTTGACAAGAAAGGTCACTCTTATTTTGCCATAAATTAATAATAACTTTAAAATAAATAAAATATTTTAAAAGAGGTAGAAAATAAAATAAAAAAATTCAAAAAAGAAAAGAATTAATTTTTTATAGTATTTTGAATGGAAGTCGCTACACCTACCTACTTTAATGTCCTTAGCCATGACTAAAGTCGGAATTAATTGAGAGAGATAGAGAGGGTTATGGTGGGCGTAAAGAGTAGAGAGATGACTTTTGAGTGAAGAGAAGTGTGGAGAAATGGCCGCCAAGAACAATAGCCTGGCCTGCTGTTGGGCGCTGCTGGCCTAGACTTTTTATCATTTTAGTTTTTTTTTTTTTTTTTTTTAATTTTTTCAAATATTCTCAGTTTTTTAATATTTTAATATTTCATTTTCTACACAACATATTTTTATTGGCCATATAATATTTAACGGTTACTTATAGTCAAAATGTTGAAATTTCAAAATGCCCTTGAAGCAAGTTTATTTTAACTGAATTTAGTTAAGTGAGCCTGTAAATAGACTTTTATACCTTGTGATCTTTTTCTTTTTGTTTTTAAAATAAGTGATCCTAAATTAATAATCTCCTTTCCTACTAGCATAGATCACATCATCTTGAAAATATTGTTCAATAATCTACACCAAATATTTTAATATTCTAAATTGAAAAACATTTAAAAGAACATTCAATGTGGTATAAGGGCTAAACTGGAAAAAAAATCAGCAGGGTTAAATAAAATCTTAAATATAAAAAGTAACTAAGAAGATTATGAATTTAGGACCACTTATTTAAAAATCAATAAGGAAAACTTGATTAAAAAGGCCACTTAACACCTAAAGATTGTTAAAATTAACCGTTTTAATGACATTTACTATAATACCATCATTAAAATTTAATGACTTCAAAAAACATAAAAAGACTAACATAACTCTTAACAAAAAAAGGATACTCTTACTTTTCCATTAATTAATAATAACTATAAAATAATATTTTTCTTTTCCTCTAAAAAAAATTATTTTCATATTTAAAATATTGAAAAGAACATTTGGTATAGGAGAAAGGATAATCTCTTTTCCTACAAGCATAGATCACATCACCTTAAAAATATTGTTCAATAATCTACACTAATTATTTTAATATTCGAAAATTGAAAAACATTGAAAAAAAACATTCAATATTGAAAAGCCGGCATATCTATCAAACATCATATTAAAATAATAATAATAAAAAATAAATAAAAGAAGAAGAAGAAAAAGAGGTTAAAAGAAGATAAATGGGGTGTAAACCCAAATCGGTGCACCTCATTGTTAATTACTAACATTTAATTTAATTTATTATCCCAAAATTAATCAGATAGTTGCCCATGAGAAACCTTAATTTAAACCAATAGAATGCCTCCAACTAAAGATCTAATATTCTATATATAATAAATTTATATTATTATGAATATAGGATAGGCTATAATAACCTTAAATTCTTGATTCAAATTTTTTATACTAAATAATAGTTACCCAACACTACACATAAAAAACATTTAACAATTGATTAGTCTGAATTAATATTATAAACAAATTCTAGCCTTTTGATTTACAATTGGTTTTCTTAATATTGACCTTCAAGTTTATAATTGAAAAACAAATATTTAGTTTCACTTTTAAAATTTCTTATATAGTGCGTATACAATATACTATATACTCTTAAAGATGTATTTATAATTTTTTAATTTAGCATTTATTTGATAAAAAGATTCCAAAATTATTTTAATACTACTTAAAAATACATAAAATTAATTTAACTTGCAGGATGAGGGAAAAGTTACTAACCTTGGTCAAGTAGAGTCTCGCTGATGTCACTACTTGTAATGTAAATATACTCAAGGGAAGTCATAGCCCCAATCATTTGAAGAAAGTTGTTATGAAAAACAGTGCCATGGATATTTAAAGCTATCAAATTCTTGAACAAAGGTAACTCTACAAAAGCACAAAAGTTATTAGGAAGATTATCAATTTATAACCACTTATTTAAAAAACAATAAGGAAAAAACCTTAAATTATAAAACTTGATTAAAAAGGGCACTTAAAACTTAAATTCTGTTAAAATTAACTATTTTAGTGACCTTTACTTTAATACCCTTATTAAAACTTAGCGACATATAAAAACATTAAAAGACTAACATACTCTAACAAGAATGGATACTCTTATTTTGCCATAAATTAATAATAATTGTAAAATAATATTTTTCTTTTCCTCTAAAAAAATTATAATAGTTTTTTTATAAAAAAACAAACAAAAATATTTTAAAAGAGGTTGAAAATAAATAAAAAATTCAAAAAGAAAAGAATTAATTTTTTATAGTATTTTGCACAGAAGTCGCTACACCTACCTACTTTAATGTCCTTAGCCATGACTAAAGTCGGAATTAATTGAGAGAGATACTGGGGGTTATGGTAGGGGTAAAGAGTAGAGAGATGACTTTTGAGTGAAGAGAAGTGTGGAGAAATGGCGGCCAACAACAATAGCCTGGCCTGCTGTTGGCCGCTGCTGGCCTAGACTTTTATCATTTTAGTTTTTTTTTTTAATTTTTTCAAATATTCTCAGTTTTTTAATATTTTAATATTTCATTTTCTACACAGACTTTTATCACTTTTTTTTTTTTTTTTTTTTTTTTTTTATGTTTTTTCTTGGTGCTTATTAGACTTTTTTGCACAAGATTAATTGAATGTCCCAAACCAATTAACTAATATTCTAAATTAGAAATTGTGATCATTATTAATATTATAAATAATAATATAAATGTTATTTTTAAAGTTATAATCAAATAATTAATGAATTATATTAAACAATATATTAATGTATATGGAAAATTGTATAAATAATTTGTTTATATAAGTAACATTATTCAAAATTAATATCTAAAAGTTTTCTATTTTAAATTTAGACACAAGCCATAAATAAGAAATGTCTTAATTTATTCAAAAAGTATAATCTTGCGAAGATTATAATGTGTGCATTTGATAGGCTGATAGAACCAATTTCATTTATTAATTAAGTTCATGCATGAGTAACAAGCAGTTGATTCCAAATATGGTTTAATTTAGCTAGTCCAAGATTATTATTTCTAAATTTCTTTTTCCTTTTATAATATGTACTCAGATTATATTTTTAAGTTAGCAAGAAAAATTTTGAACTTTGACCCTCATTAATTAGATGTCTACTTCTTATGGGAGGTTTGTTACTTTTTCTATTTATATTTTTTGGTAATAATGTTTATTTTTGCACATAACATTTTTAATTTCCAATTATAAATTATAAATTTTACTTGTAAGGAGAAGAAAAGTTACTAACCTTGGTCAAGTAGAGTGTTATTGAGGTCAATAATATCAATTACAATAGACTGAAGAGAAGTCATGGCCCCCAATATTTGAAGAAAGTTGTTGTGAAAAACAGTGTCATGGATCTCTAAAGTTGTCAAATTCTTGAACGAAGGTAACTCTACAAAAGCACAAAAGTTACTAGGAAGATTATCAATTTAGGCCCAATTATTTAAAAAACAGTAAGGAAAAGACCTTAAGTTATAAAACTTGATTAAAAAGGGTACTTAACACCTAAATTGAGTAAATTATGTTAAAATTAACCGTTTTAATGACATTTATTGTAATACCCTTATTAAAACTTAGTGATATATAAAACCATAAAAAAACTAATTAACCTTGACAAGAAAGGTCACTCTTATTTTGCCATAAATTAATAATAACTTTAAAATAAATAAAATATTTTAAAAGAGGTAGAAAATAAAATAAAAAAATTCAAAAAAGAAAAGAATTAATTTTTTATAGTATTTTGAATGGAAGTCGCTACACCTACCTACTTTAATGTCCTTAGCCATGACTAAAGTCGGAATTAATTGAGAGAGATAGAGAGGGTTATGGTGGGCGTAAAGAGTAGAGAGATGACTTTTGAGTGAAGAGAAGTGTGGAGAAATGGCCGCCAAGAACAATAGCCTGGCCTGCTGTTGGGCGCTGCTGGCCTAGACTTTTTATCATTTTAGTTTTTTTTTTTTTTTTTTTTAATTTTTTCAAATATTCTCAGTTTTTTAATATTTTAATATTTCATTTTCTACACAACATATTTTTATTGGCCATATAATATTTAACGGTTACTTATAGTCAAAATGTTGAAATTTCAAAATGCCTTTGAAGCAAGTTTATTTTAACTGAATTTAGTTAAGTGAGCCTGTAAATAGAGTTTTATACCTTGTGATCTTTTTCAAGTTGTTTTTATAATAAGTGATCCTAAATTAATAATCTCCTTTCCTACTAGCATAGATCACATTATCTTGAAAATATTGTTCAATAATTTACACCAAATATTTTAATATTCTAAATTGAAAAACATTGAAAAGAACAATCAATATGGTATAGGGGTTAAACTGGAAAGAAAATTTCAGCAGGGTTAAATAAAATCATAAATAAAAAAAAATAATAATATTGATGTTGACAAAATAAAACTGCATTAATAAAGTAAAAAGAGAAATAAAGTTGTTTTTAGTTTAATAAGTGTGAATTCAAGAGAAACAATAAAATGTACATTTAAATAGAAAGAAGGTTTGACTAAAAAATAACTTTAATTAATACACGGTTTGTGTTTCATAGAATAAATGATTTAATAATCTATAAATCAATTTTCAATTCATACTACGAATCACTTCTCACCAAATCCTTTAATAAAAAAAAATATTCAATTTTTTTTTTCATTTTTTTGTGCAATTTATAAATAATATTGAATGAATCCTAAAATTTGTCTATTGAAATGATGCATTAGACTAGACTTCTAATTCCACTTTTTCAGTTTTCTTGGTCCTTTTTAAGCAATAATAAATTAAACATGGTCTATTGAAATGAAGTACAAGATTTGAAAAACCTCCATATAATTTACCTTGATGAGTTAATACGCCAGTGACTTCACAATCATTCATATTCAAAATGTCAAGTGACGTAAATGCTCCAATGCTTCGAAGAAACCTTATATGGAGAGTAGAATCATAGATGCTGAAATGTTCAACATTGGTAAAATTATGCAACCCTGTTGAAAAGGTAAAACAAATTTTAGCAAAGTTATTGTGTAATTATGACAATAGTTTAAAGGAAAGTTTGTTTTTTTTCCTTTTTTGTTAGGTAGTATCAATGTACTTACTTTCAATATTATTGTAACTTACCATAAGTATTAACTGCTTCACTAAAGTTGTTATAGGAGAATTCAACATGCTCTAGGGATGGGAATAAGCTCAATGTCTGTAAAAGACTCCTTCCATCACTAATACTCATATTGCTTAGATAAAGCCTATTCAAATTCCTCAAACTTGTTTCACCTGTGTGTTTGTGAAAATATTCAAACACAAATATTTTCAATGCTTTCTCAGATTGAAAATTAGAATAAAACTACAACTCTAAAAGTTGAAATGTCCTCTTTAGATAAATATAGCACATGTGTGCTATTGTGCTTCTCATAAAGCAGAGCAATGTTGGTAAACGATGAGAAATGTAAATTTACTATATTATAAATCATCAATAAGTACCTTTGGAGATTACAATTTTTTTAATCTCATTTCCGCCCATGTTCAACTCCTTTAAGTTGCTCAAAGAGTCCAATTCTGGCAAGAGTTAAAATAGAGTGAGTTAAAACTAATCAAAAAGTATTTAAGAAGACTTTAATTCAATTAACAACTTTCCTTAAGCCAACATTAATTACTTGTAGACACCCATAGGCTTCAATATTGTCTTTCTAAAAGAATATAAGTTTTATGTCTTTTGGCAAATCTCATTTCTGCTCAATTACTCTACCTTCTTTGTGTTGGTCAAAGAGTTTAATCAGGGGTGGGAAATTCCGGTTAACCGAACTAGATAGGGTAGTTTATAAAAAGAACCGATTTTACGATTCATGTAAAAACTTGAACCGAAACCGAATCGGTTATGAACCGAACCAAATATACGGTTTGGTTCACCTGTTAACTGGTTTTTAAAATTATAATGACTGTCAACTGAGAAAGTTTGGCCACTGGCCACCAGAACTCTTACAGTCAAATTCTAGCCAAATGTAGGAGAAATTTAAATATACACCTACAAGTTTTGATATAAATAATAAAATCTTAAATACACCTAAAAGGCCGAAAGTGATAAACTACCTAGTACCCATACTATTATTCTTCACCGAAGAAGTCAAATTAAGCCATCCAAATTTCTTACATCTTCACAAATTCAAATAAACTTAAAGATTAGAAAAAAAAGATGAAAAAGAAAGAGAAAAATGGAAGAGAAGAAAAGGAAGAGAAGGTAAGATGGAAAAGAAAGATAAACCTGAAGGAGAAGAGATAGAGAAAAAGACGAAAAAGAAAGAGAAAACCCAAGGAGAAGAGATGGAGAAAAAGAAAAAGAAAGTGAAAAGAAGATATGGAGGAGAAGAAGATGAAAGAGAAAAGTGGCCGTGGCAGTGGGCTCTAGGAAGTTAAGTATAATTATATGTAGGGTTTTTATTTTTTTATTCTGTTAACCGGTTTAAAAAAACTTGTAAACCAAATAATCGGTTTACGATTTTTTCAAACCAAAAACCAAATCAATTTTCAAAAAAACCAAATTTTCGGTTTGGTTTTTTGGTTCAGTTCAGTTTTCGGTCTTTTTTTCCCACCCTTAAGTTTAATTAAAAAGTCACCTAAAACCCTTAGAAAATGAATAAGATGTTTGGACAGAGTAAACTGAAGTTTCTGAAACCATGAGAGAAATTAAAGATGAGAAGCAAGCTTACCTTGAAGATCAACAGTGCCTTTCAATCCGATGTCAGTCAAATTTAGTCCTTCTAATGATGAGAGAGTAGCCACATATGATAATATGCTATTATTGAACATGTTACCGCTTAAGCTCAAATGCTCCAAGTTACTTAACCTTGAAACTGAAATCAATCCAATAATAATAGTAATAATAATAACCATACATAATTTTGTGTATCAATCTAAATATGAAAGTGATAATAAAAGTTATGTCATTTAAAAGAACATCACCATTAAAATGGTTTAAATCTCTAAACTGATTATAAGCCAAACTTAAATGCTTGAGAGATGAATGTTCGCTCAAACCTGGTAAAATGCGACTGTCATTCAACATATTGTAACTAAGGTCAAGATCCACGAAATTTTTCAAGTGTGATAATCTTTCAAAACCTACAAAGCAATTCTTGTTAATAAAGACATGGAAGTAAAATTTCATTATTTAAAGTGAGGATGGAAAAACCTTCATTCTCAACGCAACCGGCTATAAGATTGTAACTTAAATTAAGTTTCTCCATTTCTTGGAAGGGAGAAAATAAAGAAACATTTAGATACCACTCCCCTAATTCCTGATTTCTTACAGAGCCAAGATCAAGAAAGATCACTCTGCCCGTTGTGAAACTGCAATAAACACTTTTCCAGTAACAGCAGTCTGAATTTCCTTGTCCCTCAACCCAATCTTGAAGACGGTTAGGATTATTGAAGAAATGTTTAAGTTGCAAGAGAGCAGTTCTTTCTTGCTTCAAACACCCCTCCATCCTCCATCCTTGTAAAGAAATAAACATCGAAATCAACATCAGCCACACCCTCACACGTTTTAACACCATCTCTGAATAACACACTAATCGTGGTACTTCTGTGACTGCCAAGAGACTAGCTTTGTGCTATTTATAGATGGAGACACCCGGTTCTTTATTGACTTGAATATTGCAACATAAACAAAGAAAGAAATGTTCCAACATAAATACAACTATATTGATTTGACTTACCAATATTATTAGATCTCAATATTATAAAACAAAAAAAAACCTCAATGCTTTTGAAGATTAATTACAAAAAAAAAAAAAAAAAAATACTTCGAATATTTTTTATGAATCAGGGTCAACCAAAGTAACAAGCTTCTTGGAATCTCTCTATAAATTATTGCTAGAAGTCTTTTTCTACCCACTTGACTGGAAATACATAGACTATATTTTCCGAGAAAGTAACAGAGAATAATCCTTACAAAAAAAAATATATTGCAATGGGCATCCTTTCACAAATGGAATTCTTTTTTTAGTTGTATGGTTTAGTTTCATTCAGCACTCCGAAGTTTCTGATATCGTCGGCCAGGATATGTATTTTTCTCGTAGTCATATAGTGAGTGATAGTTTCAAAAATTTTAGAGATATTTTATGATAATATTGTCGAAGTGATGTTAAATTACTGTAGATATGTGGATTTATGTTTATTTGGGTTGGTGGGTGTAGGAAAATGAAGTGGGAAAATTTTAAATTGACTTGACTTTGGAAAACGCCAAACGTTTTTCATGGCATTTTCTCGGAAACTTTGTCGGAGAGCAAAAGAAAAAAGAAAATTGACTTGAGTCAATGCCTCATATTATTTTACTCATTATTGATTTAAATCAATTTATTGCAAATATATACAATCAGTCACACACATGCTGGGCATTAATTACTTGACATTAAAACATTAAAATTAATATAATCAATAATTTTTTAATGCATTATATTTATATAATCAATTGATATTTAAAATCACAAGTCAATTATTATTTTGATCTTAACAATCTCAGTCAATTGATGGGCCAACCATTTTTGTTCTTTTAGTTGACCATGAATTTGAAAGCTCGGATAAAGACTTTCACATTATTCCCTCATCAAATTTCATAATTTTGGTCATGACAATTTCAATCAAATAATGGAATAAAATGAATGGCCAACAATTTTTCTTACTCTAATTTTTTAATAAAAAGGGAAATTTTCCTTAACCCTTGTGCGTTTCATGTAATTATCTAACCAAATTTTGGTCATATTATTCACTCATCAACTTTCATAATTTTGGTCATATTATTGGAGTTTGATTAGAGGAAAATATGTCTTGACAAATTAAACAAAAAAATATCATATCTTGCAAATTTCTAGTTTAAATTATGAAAATGTTGAGAGACAAAGAAAGAAAGGGAACGATATGTCAATACATATTTTAACAATATATATCTTGTATGGACAATAGAAGGAATTTGTTTTCAACCCTACGTAATCGAATGGTTTTTAAATGTTGAAATGTAAATATATATTGATAAATTAAACAGAGAAATATCAAATGTTGTTCAATTCACGTTATTAATTAAAAGCTCCTTAAGATTTGAAGACCATATAAAATAATTAGATTTGAGATTTCAATTTTGTAATTATGATTAAACAAAAATGAAATCATAAGCTTATTGTATATAAACTGGTTGCATATTTAAGTGGAAGAAATGAACCTTTGATAACATTAGACACTTGAGCTTCGAGGATTGAGTTTGACAAGTTTAACTTAAGATCAAAATCCTAAAAAGAATATCAACTAATTCAATTTAAATTCTTATATAAAATTAATAATGTGCTCAAAATATTTGAGGCCACAAACTAGGTAAGGTACTAGAAGCTGACATAGAAAGTTTGCTTATGTTGGTCAATTTAATGGAGGCCCACAGAATTTATAGAGAAAATGTTAATTTACTCTCATATATTTAGTTTACCTTCTGGCCAACCCCAGTTTTTTAATATAACACTTTAGCCCCATAAATGTAACTTTCCTTCTGGCCTCATAATTAATTGAATATTACATTTTTCCCCCATAAAAAAATTTATGAGATAGAACTGCTACATGAAAAAAAAAAATATGAGTACAACTATATGATTAAAACATGAGCTGTATTTATTGTTGAAGAAGATTAATTTCTTATATTTATTGGATCTATATATTTCATCTTCTTTGTTTCTATTTTATAACAACTCCAGTATTATAGGCACAAACATAAGAATTGACTTCACAAGAGTAAGGGTAACATTAAAATTAAATGATACTTGAGAATTAGAAAAATAAAATAATTTTAGAACTTTTAATAAATATGTTTTAAAAATTAATTAGTCTAATTATAATCACCTACCCCAAACTTAGGATATGTAAGCTTAGGATAAATATCTTTTTATTATTAACTTCAAATTATTCATTATGATTAATGAAATTAATTCTAACTGGAGCGTTTGAACTATAACAATCTTTTTACTAAAAAATTATTCATGAAATCATGTCCAAGTTTGAACTTATGTTTGCACTCAACTTATTTAAAGTGCTGACAACTTATGGAATTTAAACAAGCCTTCAATTAAATTTATTTTATTAACAGTTTAATTTGAACAATTTAATTTAGAAAAAAACTATACTTATCGATTATGCATACCGATTCCCCATCCCAATTGACGTGGAGTACGACATGAAGAGTCTCCATGTTGACCACGTCGCACTCCACATCAGTCGGGGTGGGGTCGATATGTAGAATCAATAAGTTGTAGTCTTACTGGTAAAATGTGTAGTAAATTAAATTTTATTTTCATATCATCAATTAATCCATTTTATTTTGTCATGACAATCTGAATGACTTAGTAGAGTACTAAATTGAACATCTAACCATTTTTCTTTGTTTAGAATTCATAATGCAATTTAGTTGGAATCGATAAATTAAGAAGTATGTATAACTATGGACATTACAAAAATTAAATCCAAGTGAATGACCATGTAGTTGTGCCACTGCTTAGTTATTATGGCTAACGTTTTCATGATCACCGCTTGAATGCATATCTCAAAAACCAATAAAAACATAAATTAATACACACATCAATGAAATGAAACCTTATCCTACATCTATAGGAGTTGATCCATAGGATAACTAATAACCCTAATAATATTATAACCCTAAAATTTTAATTAAATTTTTTTTTTTTTATAAAAATAGTGATTGGAAATATCTTCAATTAAAATTTTCAATTGAAGGTTAAGATTATATTAACCATTATATTACTCAACATTATTATATTGCTTTGTAAGTTAATGCTGAGTTATTATAAATATAACTCTAATTAATATAATTAATAAATTTGTTAAGATAGATTCAGTTAATCATACTTTGTTGGATATTCCGTTAAAATTATTATATTTTTTGTAAATTAATGTTGAGATTATGAAGTTTCAATAATTATAAGATCTAGAGTAATTATAATAACAAAACGTCTTGACATGCAAAATCATTAATCATTTCTACCCTTTTTTTTTTTTTTTTTAATACTCTTATCATAGAAATATTGAAGCTTATCATTATCAAATTTTCATATAAAAATTGTGTTGTATTAATAGTGTCATGAAAGAAAATACCCAAATAAATATTAATATCCTTAGAAAATACCCAAATAAATATTACTCATGGGACACACGGTTAAAAATATGGGAAAACATATGCATCATAAATAATGTAATCACGTCCCACATAATCTTTATTTATTAATGTTAATTGTTATATAATTTAGGATGTAAAAATTAAAAATTTGTTTTATTTTGTTATATTTTCAAATGCAAAACATGGGGAGGTTATCTGTGGAATGGTAAATTTTGATTCTATTTTTTTTTTTCTAATAACCTCCATTTTTTTCCCAGTACTATTAGATAGTAACAAATTAATCCAAATTTTTAACTTTCTATTTTCAAAAGGGGTTAGAGAATTTTTTTTTTTTTTTAATCAACTGACTTTTTAATAAAAAAATTTAAAAAAAATTGAATTTATCATTTTGTCATTTTTCAGTTAAAGTCAACAAACGAATTTTAACGATGGGTGGAAAATTGTTTTTTTGAAACCTAACCTTAGGTGGGAAATTGTCATTCTCCTGTTAAACTAACAACCAAAAAGTGATTGATGTGTTAAATATTTGTGTTCATGAAATTAATATCTTTGAGCCTTGATTATTGGTTTTTCTTGCCTTTCTTCCACAACGATGGGTGGGAAATTATTTTTCTGAAACCTAACCTTAGGTGGGAAATTGTCATTCTCCTGTTAAACTAACAACCAAAAAGTGATTGATGTGTTAAATATTCGTATTCATGAAATTAATATCTTTGAGCCGTGATTATTGGCTTTTCTTGCCTTTCTTCCACAGTTTGCTCCTACATTAAATAGTTTGTCGGTTGATTGACTTCTTGCCCCATTAGAAAATAAATTGTGGAAATTGCACCTTAGGTGGGAAATTGTCATTCTCCTGTTAAACTAACAACCAAAAAGTGATTGATGTGTTAAATATTTACGTTCATGAAATTAATATCTTTGAGCCGTGATTACTTGTTTTTCTTGCCTTTCTTTCACGGTTTGCTCCTCTATTAAATAATTTGTCGGTTGACTGACTTCTTGCCTCTTGGAAAATAAATCATGGAAATTGTATTAAATCACAAAAGTCATGATTTTTTAGTCCATTCTCAAGAAAGTATATGATGTTTATGAGCTGTGACCATTGGTTTTCCAATATGGCAATATTGTCAACTTGAATCATTTTTCTACAACTAGTATTGTAAATATACGTATATATAAAAATAATTGATTAAAATAAAAACTTATTCCTACTCAAACTCTACAAGTTCCCATTTTATCTCTAAATAACATAATCTAAGTCTTGTTATGATTTCAAAATAGTATAATTTAATATTTAGTTTTCTCCACTATCTTATAAGATATAGAATAATATTGTTATAAAACAAAATATTGACAAACATAACCATCATCATTTTCCATTTTTCA